TACTAATGCAACAAAAGAGGAGGTGTTACTAATAGAGGAAGAGGTGGTGGTCGAAAGCCTGACAAGAGTCAAATTCAATGTTACAATTGTCGTGAGTATGGTCACTATTCTAGTGATTATCCAAAAAAGCGAAAGAATCAAGAAAGTGATGCAAAGTTTGCAAAACATAAAGAAGAATAGATGATGTTGATGGTCACAACAAGAGATGAACATAGATTCAAGAACCAATGGTACTTGGATTCAGGATGCTCATCACACATGACTGGAAGGAAAGATTGGTTTGTTAACATAAAACCCTCGATGAAAAACATGGTGAAATTTGCAAATGACAATACCCTAGTAGCTGTAATTTCAAATGTGTTGTACATACCAGGCATGAAGAGTAAAATATAAGACAGTTGTTCGAAAAGAACTATAAAGTGTTAATCAAAGGCAAGATGATGAGAGTCATCGATTCAAATGGAAGATTAATCTTGAAGGCTCATATGTCTCAGAATAGAACCTTTAAGATCGAACTAAATATGATGGAGCACAAGTGCCTTTCGACTACAGCTAGAAGGGATGAACGAATATGGAATTATCGACTAGGTCATATCAACTTCAAAGACATCAGAGATTTGAAAAGAAGAAATACGGTTTTATGGTTGCCAGAAATTGACATTCCAAATGAAGTGGGTGAGGAATGTGTGCAGGCGAAGCAACACAAGAATAACTTTAGCAAGGGTGCAGGAAGCAAGTCGAAGGCTATTCTTGAAGTCATATAATTTTATATATGTGTACTGATCCAAGTGGATTCGAATAGAGGTAACAAATACTTTGTTACATTCATAGATGATTTTAGTCGAAAACTGTGGACTTACCTGATCAAGAAGAAAAGTGAAGTGATCGAGGTATTTGCCAAGTTTAAATCTATGGTAGAAAGACAAAGTGGTAGAAATCTCAAAGTTTTGAGAACTGATGGTGGTGGAGAGTATGTGTCGAAAAACTTTGGTACATTATATGAGAAAGAAGGGATTGTGTGTGAGGTGGTGCCACCCTACACTCCACAGCAGAATGGAACTGCATAAAGAAAGAATCAAACCATCATGAATATGGTGAGAAGTATGTTGAAAGGTAAGAACTTACCTAAAGAGTTTTGGGGTGAAGTTATATCGACTGTAACATACATTTTGAACAGATGTCCGACGAAGAAGCTAGAAAGAATAACTCCAGAAGAATGTTGGTCTGGTGTGAAGCCTAGCTTGAGTCATCTGAAGGTATTTGGATCTATTGCACATAGACATGTGCCAGATCAGTTGAGAAGAAAACTTGATGAGAAGTCGGGTCAGATGATCCTAGTAGGATATTATTCGACATGAGATTACAAGTTATTTGACCCGGTGAATAAGAAGATTGTGATCAGCAGGGACGTAATCATATATTAGCTTAAGGAATGGGATTGGACAGAAAATATCAAGAAAACTTCAGTAAGAATCTTATTTGAAGAACCAGCAGTTGAAGTCAAAAGAGAAGTTTGACAAGAGGAAGTTATAGATCAACCAGGAATAAGTTATCCTCTGGGAACAAGATACATGCCTGCAAGGTTGCAAGATTGTGTGATTACATCAGATGATGTGGTTGATAATGAAGGTAAGCTGGTACATTATGCTTTATATGCAGATGTTGAACCTGTCAATGCAACTGAAGCATTGAAAGATTCGAAGTGGGCAAAAGTAATGAATGAAGAAGTGAAGTCCATCAAAGACAACAACATTTGGTCACTTGTAGAATTGCCTCAAGGCAAGAAGGTAATTGATGTCAAGTAGGTATAAAAGATGAAGTTGAATCCCAAAGGAGAAGTAACTCGACACAAGGCTAGACTTGTGGCGAAAGGATTTCTTCAAAAAGAAGGAATCGACTTCGATGAGGTTTTTGCACCTGTTGCTAGAATCAAAACAATCGGGTTGGTTGTTGTTCAAGCATAAATGAGAAGTTTCCATATATGTCAGATGGACGTGAAAATTGCATTCCTGAATGGACCCTTAGACAAAGAAGTCTATGTTTTACAACCAGTTGGGTTTGTGAAGCATGGCGAAGAGAGAAAGGTGTACAGGCTGCATAAAGCTCTGTATGGATTGAAACAAGCACCAAGAGCATGGAACAAGAAGGTAGATAGATTTCTAAGGGAGAACGAATTTGTGAAGTGTGCAACTGAACATGGAGTATATATAAAAAGAAGCAATAGTGAATTATTTATACTATGTCTCTATGTCGATGATTTGTTGATAACATATAGCTGTATAAGTGAGATCGAAGTCTTTAAAGATGATTTCAACAAGGAATTTGACATGTCTAATCTGGGTGACATTTCATATTTCCTTGGCATTAAATTCTACAAGAGCAGTAGAGGTCTGATGATACATCAAAGAAGATATGCAAGTGAAATTCTCAAGAGATTTGAGATGGAAGAATACAACTCGAACTTGACACCTGCAGAACCAAGACTATAATTGTTGAAAGATGCATAAGAAGATGATGTTGACCCAACTCAATACAAAAGACTTATTATTTCATTGAGATATTTTTGTCATGTAAGGCCTGACTTAGCATACAGTGTAGGTATGGTAAGTAGATTCATACAGAAGCCAAAGGTATCACACCTAGCAGCGATAAAGAGGATACTGAGGTATCTGAAAGGAACTCTTGACTATGACATTTTGTTTTCTGCAGCTGATAAAGAAAAAGAATGCAAGTTGGTTGGATACACTGATTCAAGTTGGTGTAGTGATGCTGAGGATCAAAAATCTATAGCGGGATATGTGTTCATGTTAGGTGGTGCACTAGTTGCTTGGAGTTCGAGAAAGGAACCGGTAGTGACATTATCATCGTGTGAAGCAAAGTACATAATTTCTTCTCTTTGTGTATGTCAAGCAACATGAATGGTGAACTTGGTTGAAGAGATTGCAGGTAAAGATCATGGAGCAATTACCATGAAGATCGACAGCATGTTAGCTATCAATTTGTCGAAGAATCTGATAGCACGTAGTCGAATCAAGCACATCAAAATGAGATTTCATTATCTTCGAGAGCAGGTAGCGGATGAGAAGATGAACTTGGAACACTACAGAACTGAGAATCAGATTGCAGACATCATGATAAAGGGTGTGCAGGTCGAAGTGTTCAAAAGACTAAGAGATATGATGAATATAGATAACTTAGACACAATAATTAGGTGGTGTGTTAAATGTGTAATTCCTTGTATCGAAGCAGGATGTTGCTCGATACAAGGTGTGTCCAAACTTAGTCTTGTGTAAGTGTGTCGAGTTGTGTCGAAGCAATTGCTTCACACATATTTGATTTAGATCTGAAATAGTTATTTTGTGCTTTTATAATTTTGGACTTTGGCTTAAGGAACAAGAAAGCTCAATTTTAAATAGAGGGAGTAACTCCTATCTTGTAACACATTGAATATTCATAGAATTTGCAGTTGCAAGTGAATAAGAAAATTTTCCATATTTTGTAGGCACAAAGAGAAACTCTACAGAAATCTTAATCTTTTTTCCTTTAAATTTCCTTTTTCTTTTCATCGTTATTGTGGGATTGATAACAATCTTTTCATCAAGATTGATAGGAATTTATCATAGGAATGGATAAATTTCCAACGTCTTACTTGTAGGTAATAAAAGTTACCATAGCAACATGATTTGGTTAAATAAACTTTAATATATGAGATTTGAATTTTTCTCTTTAATATATTTATGAGAACAATAAATAAATATAAATTAAGAATATTACCTCATTTGATAAGAACACAAAATAGTGACCTAATTAACAAAATAATAAATAAACAAATAAGAAAGAGAGGCACAAGGCCACAACAATGTACTCCCTCCCTCTATTCTAAAATAATTGTTTTTTTAGTTTTAAAAAATTATCTCAAAATAATAGTCTCTTTATTTTTTTAAAGATAATTATAATTAATTTTTATCAATTTTATCTTTGTATAGACTCTTTCTAAATATGTTAATGTACTACAATTAATAATAATAAAGTCAATTTTGTAAATATGTTACTTTTATTTAATTAATCATTATTTTTCTTAATCTCTATATAACAACCTTAAACGACTATTATTTTAAGAAGGAGAAAATACATTATAAATAAATATCAAAGATAGGGTAGTGATTTCATAGACACGTGTGTAGTTTTATAGAACCTCTTTAATTTTTTTTAATTAGAAAAGTCAAAACAAATACAGAATCAACCGATAAAACTAAGGTAGATAAAGATATTTCTATGGAATCTGCAAGAAGAATGGAAGATAGGTATGATGAAACATCTATAAATTTAATACGATTGTAAACCGGACATATAGTTTAAAAAAATGTTTGAATTAAAGCTTTCTATAATGGGATTGGCTCGATGAGAGGGAAAAATAATTGCTTTCCTAATTTTAAGTGTCCTCTGTAATGGTAATGAGTCAAATTTGGAAGATATTGAGAAAAAAAAACAAATTAAAACAAATTAGACGGAAAATGAACTGCCAAAATTTAGATGCGGCATGATTGTGGAAGATGGCAAGTTGTTCATGGTATTGGTGTCATTATTCATGGAATAGTAACAGTAAATGAGTATGAGAATGGTTAGTATGATTTTTTCATCATATTTTTAAAACTTTCTTTTCACCTTTAAAATATATTTTTTCAATTTATCGGTAAAAATATCACAACACAACCATGTTTTAAGGAAAAAAACGCGAAGAAAAAGCCAGAAGAGTTATACATTGGAGCAAATTCTATGTGAGAGCCCGAATTAGGCTTTTAGTACAGTTGCGAAATTAATTTATAAGGGCTAATAACAATTAAAAGCTAGCTAAATGAATCCAAAATTACTCCTCGACAAATTTCTATTTAGAGATTCCCTCATGACAGTATCAGCTGCAGATATGTACTTTCTCAGGATTATAAACCAAAGCAAGACGTAGAGTTCCAAGCACCATCGTCAAACCATTGCCCACTTGGCTAGCTATTATATATATCTGCATCAAAGAACAAGTTTGTCAAAATAGTTTCAGAGAAGCAGCAGACATCTAACTTGAGTCTGGTTTTATTCTATCATCAACCAAAGTAAATCTTTGCAACTTTGAAATGTTTTACTGCACAGCAACCAGACAGAGTAATGTGGCAAAAATGATTTTAAATGCTAACCACGGATGGTTAGAATTGTATTCCAATTTGGTGAGTTGCATCCATGTTTAACATTTACAAAATGAAACTTCTCCTGTGTGACTGGACTAGCATTTCAAACACAACTGAGTTGGAGTGAGTAGACTAAAGCAATTATTCAGAAAATTGTGCAACAAGGCCCCCATACCATCAAAATCAGGTATCACACTAAAACTACTATCCTTCTTAAACATACAGTTGAGCCCTTGGAAGAAGAAAATATGTCATGCAACAAGAAAAATCAAGCCTTATCCCACTAAGTAAGATCAGGTACATGGATCAAAAGACACCATAATATTCTATATGTATGGTAATAAGATACATTAACCCAAGCCATACCACTGAATTATGATTATGTTTATTGAACTGGGTGTATAGAGTAAAATTTAATTAAAGGAAAGTAAATCAACCAAAAAATTTATCGAAAATCCAAGTATCAAGGGTCACTATCTCACAGCTTCTTCCTATCATAATGTCTTAAATTCATCCTCATTGCAAATCCAAGCTCCCTCTATGCCGGAAGAAAGTCTGAGGCATCATGACTGTACTTAAGGTGGTGTGTGGTACCTTTACTTACCCAATGCAGATGATAGATACATCGATGTACCAGATTCTACCATTGTCACTGTCTCTGCCAATCTATGGGCAAGAGGGATTGTGTGCACAGATAACTAATAACTAGAGAGTTGGAATGCTTCTACTGTAGGCAACCCTGTCCCTGCCTTCACTTAGCCAGAAGTTCGTGATCACGCGACAGCAGCTCCAACAGGTGCGCTATTAACAATATGGTAGCTAGCTGAAAGCCTTCTAAAGTGGGTTTAGAGGCATTTCCAGACCCCTCTATGTATATATCATTGGTTGGTTGGTGCCTTGCAATAAGCAACAATAACAAGATCTGACATCTCCTTCCTAGTTAACAATGTCCATTTAGTTCATGTCTCAACCCCTTGAAGCCCTTTGGCTTGTTGTTAAGCCTATGTTATGGTATCTAAATGGTACCATCCCTTGGGTCTTACATCTAAAGCCACTACCTTCTTCCCAGTGTCCCTTAGTGCATATTGTGATACTGGAGTTCAGACCTTGATGACAGGCACTCTACCTCTAGCCCATGTGTTTTCATTGGGGATTACTTTCTATCTTAGTGAACAAAGAAGCAACAAATCATCTCTAGATCAAGCGCTGAAGCAGAATACAGAAGGCTGACACTTGTTATTGCTGAGCTATGGATATATTCCCTCCTAACTGAATTGGTTGTTCCATGCTCTTCTCCTACAGTTCTCTGTGACAACATAAGCACCATTGCATTAGCACATAATCTGCATGGAGTTTGACCACTTCTTTGTTTGGGAAAAGGTCCTTCAAAAACAACTCCATGTTGCTCATATGCCACACCATCAGCGTCAGCAGAGTGTTGATATCATGACCAAGGATCCCTCAAGCACAATGCAATTCTTTGCTTCCACCAGGTCGAGATTATTATTTATTAATTATCTCAAGATTAAGCTAGTTAAGTAAATGTTTATTTTAGTTGTAACTAACTAACTAATTGTTGTCAGGGTTAGGCAGTAGTTTAATTTCTCCTGCAAGATTATCTCCCTCAATTCATCTAACATTGCAGCTCGCGTATACGTCTCCTGTGAGCTTTTAGCTGCTTGCTGGTGCTTGCTCTTCTTGTTCAAGCATTATTAGCTCGTCAAATGTTGTTTTCTGCTTCTATATCACCCGTCTAAACTTATCCATACACAACTCATGTTCGATCTATTCCCTCAAGAACCATTTGTTTTCTTATTAATCATTAATAAACATAAAATAAATATTAAAATACTATACTAAGATAATTATAAAATATTAATCAACATTATCACTCAAACTTTATTTAAACGATCATTTATTAATTATCATATTTTTATACTAAAATCTATCTTTATATTTTTGGTAGGAAGGTACAATCTATGGTACAACTTTGCAAGTTACTACCTTGACTCCCCTTCTCGGTCCTAAGTAAATATCAATTTAGATTGCCTTATAATGGTGCCAAAACTGCCAAAGAGGTTATTCAAACAAGCTGTTTCCCTCTTGTACTTATAGTAGCACCCCACCATAAGTTATCAAAACTACATCACATGCTTCTTTTTCGGACTGTAGATCAGGACAAAATGCCTAGCCTAAAAATATTGGCATTTGCCAATTGAACTAGGCCTCTACTAATACTAACATGAACTTAACGACAAATAAAACTCAACCAGACCTATGATCTATTTGTATGCAATAGTTACTGTGAAATATGCATATTTATAGGTTTCAAACACCTATTATGACCACTAAACCAACCCAACCTTAATTTCATAATATATCAAACTTATAACTACAATTCAAAACAGAGAACCATACATAAAAGAACAGCAACAACACTTCAATGTATGATACCGTTAATCAAAATCAAGTCCAAATCCACTCAGGAGTAAATACAATAATATACAACAAAACAAATAAAGAAGTGGTGCCTCAGAAACAAGTTGCTGTTGTAAGAAAACACAACTTGAAAATAATCAGTCCATTGTAAACTTCACAATTAAAAGATTTCAAATAATATTAAACCAAAAACTAGTCTACACTTTATGATACCAAATACATACAAAACTGCCATTACAATACTAAGCCATATGCAAAATCCCATAAAAGATTCTAAGTGAGCTTAATTTACTGAAAAATGAAAGATTTCACAGTAGAAAGATATTCGTTCTATGTTTGAGTTTCCTGTTTAAAAGATCTTACTAAGAATACTTGTTAAGGAATTGAGGTATAGGTAAGAAAGTTTGTAAGTCACATTCAATGCATAATTAATTTCAAAATCCGCACTTTCCATTAAAGAACTTCTATAGCTGATTCCTTAATCAGTGTCTTTAAAACATTAGTTCGCATTTTCCTTTTTGCTAATGGTTATAAGACACAAAAACGCAAAGAAAAAACACAAGACAGCAATCTCAGCAGAAACTTGTATAATGCAAATGTAAACAACACAGCGGAACATGACAACATCTAACCTAAAAATAAAAAACATGCATAAGTCTGGCCAAATCGCATCGATGTCAATTGTGAACAACAAGCACACCCAATTGGGTTTACATCAAGCGAAACCACCACCACCTGGCTTTACTGCCAAAACTGCCATTTTAATGTGTGCCACCAACATATAAGAATAAATAGTTGTTTCTTATTAAACATCAAAACTCAAAAAACAACACCATTGAAGTTTTATAACCTAGCTAGACGTTTTTGATAGAACAAAGTTCATAGAGTACTATGAAGAGCTCTCAAATAATAGTACTAGTGCACCACTTGCTAGTATATTTAATTAATTGCAGAACCACAAGAAACAACCAAATAAAAGCATTCATGACACTCAAAAAACAACACCCTTGAAGTTTTATAACCTAGCTAGACGTTTTTGATAGAACAAAGTTCATAGAGTACTATGAAGAGCTCTCAAATAATAGTACTAGTGCACCACTTGCTAGTATATTTAATTAATTGCAGAACCACAAGAAACAACCAAATAAAAGCATTCATGACACTCCTTGAATCCAAAATCAAGGCACAAAAAAACTAATTTTATTTTCCTAAACCAAAAATAAACTAATGAAAAAATCCGTTTTTCATGCTTAACATCATTCATTCATTGAAAAACAAAAGACTACATAGTAGGGTATGTAAACAAATCATCAAATCAAGCTAAAAAGGGAACTAAAACAATTAAAATGCTTAAATTAATTGTTTATCTCACCATTAGACCCTGATCGTTTTCCACGCTTGATTCTCTCCAGCTGAACTTGTGTATCCATAAACATCTGCATCCTCTGCACTTCAATATCCTTAGCAAACTGCATCCTTTGTTTCTCCAAATCCACCATCTGCCTAAGTTTCTGCCCCTCCACTCTCTCATACATTTCACCGAATCTCTCAATAGCCTTCGCCAACCTCTTCATCCCTTCCCTCCCTTTCTCCCCTTCATCCACTTCGCTTCCCCTCCCTTCCTCTTCCTCTACCTCCACCTCTTCCTCCTCTACTTCTACTTCTTCTTCTTCATCTTCCTCCTCATCCTCATCAGCTTCCGCGGCAGCCGCTGCGGCGGCCACCGCGGAATAATTCCTCCTGAAATAACCATCATCCATCACCGCGGCAATCGGTCTCTTCTGCGGAAGCGCAACGGCAGTCGGAGGCACAGAAATAGCAGGTGACGAAGGAGCGAATTTCCGAAAAGGAATCAAAGGAAGAGCAACCGGCGGCGACGGTGATGGCGATGAAGAAGTTCTTTTGGTATTAAAATTAGGTCCAACCAAAGCATCTAACCGTTCGAAAAACGGCCATGACGAAGAAACAACACCGTTAGAAGACGAAACCCTAGATTTCTCGATCTTATACTTCTTCTTAATCGTATCGATTCGATTCTTACACTGAACATCTGTACGATGAGTTTTCTTGGTATGTCCATGAAGGGCATTAACAGCATCAGCAACATCCTGCCAATCCTTCTGCCGGAGATTCCCGCGGTTGAGTTCAAGGTAACGACGGCCCCAAGCATCAACCAGAGTGGATGAAGCTTCCTCAGACCAGCAATCCTCACGGACGGGGACAGGACGTGACGGCGGAGTGAGGGAATCGTGAAAGTCCGGCATCGGAGAAAAAGAAAAAAGAGAAATTAGGGTTGATGATTGATGAGAGAGAAAGAGAGAGAGATATAGAGAGAGAAACGGCGGAAGGAAAACAAAGGCGAAAGAATGGGATAATGCAGTACGGTCGCCGGGGAAGGGCGCGTGTTGTTGGGGGAACCCCCAGTGTGTGAGTGGCTCGCGTCATCGGATCGGCTCGGCTTGACCGAAACAACTACTATCGGAAAGCCCAAAACTTTTTTTTAAATTAATAAACCTAAAATTAAAATAGATTTTGTAATTTGAAAATTTGGAAATATCTTAATTTAAACTAGACTGCCCCTTTAACTCTCCACTTAGATCTCTCTGTTTTTTTTTTTTTTTTACTTTTTTTATTTATTTTGATTATTTAGGTAACAAGAATAATAAAATAAAATTAAAAAACTCAATAAAACATAAAATTAAAAACGTAAAATTATAGAAAAATATATGTGTAGAAATATTAAGTATTTGATGGGGGTATGAATTTAATTAAACGTACTTTCAATAACAAATTATATATATATATATATATATATATATATATATATATATATATATATATATATATATATATATATATATATATATATATATATATATATATATATATATATATATATATATATATATATATATATATATATATATATAATGGCTTTTAATTTTATAATATTTATGTTATTTACGTCAAATAAATTTTAATTTATACATTAAAATTGAACATATATATTTTTAAATTTAATTTTTAAAAGAGATTTTGTAAAAAATCTTGTACGCAAGTTAGTAATTGTGTTATTAGAGTTCTCTTTAATTTGGAAATTTGGAAATATCTTAATTTAAATTAGACTGCCCCTTTAAGTCTCCACTTAGATCTCTCTGTTTTTATTTTTTTTAACTTTTTTTTTTATTTTGATCATTTAGGTAACAAGAATAATAAAATAAAATTTAAAAACTCAATAAAACATAAAATTTAAAACGTAAAATTATAGAAAAATATATGTGTAGAAATATTAAGTATTTGATTGGGTATGAATTTAATTGACGAATCGGTCCCCATCTAGACCGCCTTCTCCGTCACCAGACCAGAGGACTTCTACGTCCCCGAACACCTACAGGAGCCGCTCACGACGCACAGCAAGTGGGAGTATTTTCCCTCCACCATGGTCATCAATGGTGGAGGATTCAACGACCTAACCATAAATTCGGCCAAGAGGAAGCTGGATGAACTGGTCGACTCTGCCCCTCCTCAGACGGTGACTTTTGAAAGGGTGAAAGGTAGGTCAGAGCCTATCACCTTTTACCTCGAAGAGCTCCCCGGAGGAGCCCCCAACGCGGTCATTCCTCTGCTAATAAGAGCAAAAATGGCTAACTTTGACGTACATCGCGTTCTCGTCGATGAAGGAAGTTCCGTCGACGTGATGTACAGTCAATTATTTCGGACCCTGCAGCTAGACGACTTGCACCTCTCGCCGTATGTGGGGTCGAACTTACAGGGCTTCAACGGCTCAACCTCCAAACCTTGGGGATATGTCGAGCTCATGGTTACCTTCGGCGAGGACACGGCGACGAGGCAGGTCAAGGTGCGCTTCCTCGTCATCGACTGTCCGTCCCTCTACAACTGCATCCTGGGGAGACCAACACTGGCAGAACTGACCGCAGTACCTTCCACCGTCCACTTGAAGATGAAGTTCTACACCAAGAGGGTGCGGGTCGCCACCATCCAGGGGGACCTGGCTGCTGCTCGAAGGTGTTTCAACGCCGCATCCAAGGGACGCGACACGGTCGACACTGGGACAAGGCCCGCCAAAAGACCAGCGACGGCACGACAAGAGCCCAAAAAGCCAGAGCCCGTCAAAACAGAAGAGCAGAGAGCTCCCCCAAAGGTCGACTCCATAGCTCTGGACACCCGTTTCGATCAGGACGAACCTCCCAACGGCGAGAAAATCCCCCTCCGACCAATTCTGGACGGGGACTTCGAGCTCGTCCCCCTCGACGAGGACCCAAGCAAAGGAGTGAAGATTGGTACCGACCTCCCCGACCTGGAAAGGAAGCAAATCAAAGCCTGCTTGCGCGAGAATGCTGACTTGTTCGCATGGAGCGCCGCAGAGATGCCCGAACTCGACCCCGAGGTCGCCTGTCACCTCTCGCCATAGACCCATCCGCTAAGGCAGTAGTACAACGTAGGCATAGGCAGTCTCCGGAGAAAACGGAGGCTGCTGAAAAAGTTGTAAAAGACCTCCTAGAGGCAAATTTTATTTCTGAAGCCCAATATTCAACCTGGCTGTCAAATGTTGTACTAGTAAAAAAGAATAATGGAAAATGGCAGATGTGTGTTGATTATACTGATCTCAATCGGGCACGCCCGAAGGATGCTTTTCCTTTACCGAACATAGATATGTTGGTCGACAACTCGGTCGGTTACAAAATACTATCGTTCATGGATGCCTATTCAGGCTATAACCAAATCCCAATGGCCATGGGCGATAAGCATTGCACTGCCTTCATGACCAGCTCGGGCAACTATTACTACAACGTAATGCCCTTTGGACTAAAGAACGCAGGGGCAACTTACCAACGTATGATGAACAGAGTGTTCCACAAACAAATCAGAGACATGCTCGAGGTTTACATGGACGACATGATCGTCAAGTCCCGAGCAGACACCGATCATGCAGCCCACCTCAAAGCAGTCTTCGCCCAAGCGAGACGATGTAAGATGAGGTTCAATCCCGAGAAGTGCACGTTCGGGGTCAAGGCAGGGAAATTCCTCGGGTTTTACCTGACAGAACGAGGGATTGAAGTCAATCCCAACAAATGTCGAGCCTTCTCTGACCTCCCGACACCTACGTCGAAGAAATCAATACAAGTCATGAACAACATGCTCACCTTGCTGTCCCGCTTTGTCGCGAGATCCGCTCAGCACGCCCTCCCCTTCTTCAAACTCCTTCGCAAAGAAGCGGCCTTCGAATGGACCGAGGAATGTGAACGGGCACTGTGCCACCTAAAACAAAGTCTATCCCAACCGCCCGTACTGTCTCGACCAGTCGACAAGGAGCCTTTATTCCTATACTTGGTCGTCTCGAACGATGCCATCAGTGCGGCTCTCATTCGCGAGACCACCGACGGGCAAAAACTCGTTTATTTCACGAGCAAAGCCCTACAAGGACCCGAGAGCAGATACTAACAGATAGAAAAAGTAGCTCTAGCCCTTGTCAACGCGGCAAGGAGACTCAGACACTATTTTCTGGCCCACACAGTCATAGTGCGAACCAACCAACTGGTAAAACAACTCTTAGGTCGACCTGACATGGCGGGCCGAATGTTGAAATGGTCCTTAGAACTCTCCGAGTTCGACATTCAATACGAGAGCAGGAAAGCCCTAAAGGCACAAGCCTTGGCCGACTTCGTCGCGAAAATGACCGCTCACGACCCGCCCACAGGGAAAGAGCACAAATGGACCATCTTCGTTGATGGAACTTCCAGCTCGTCCGGAAGCGGCGCAGGGATCCTCCTAGAAAATGAGGAGGGCGTAGTGATCCAGCATTCGTTAACCCTCTCCTTCCCGACTTCGAACAACCAAGCAGAGTACGAGGCCCTGCTCGCAGGACTAAGGCTAGCCGAGGACCTAGGAGCCCGCGAGGTACAAATTTTCACAGACTCTCAACTTGTTGCTTCCCAAGTCCAAGGGAGTTACCAAGCTAAAAACGACAGCCTCGTTGAATACCTAAACTTAGTTAAAGAACACATGAAGAAGTTTGACCGAGCAGAAATATCACACGTCCCGCGCGAGCAAAACACAAGGGCAGACATACTGTCCAAGCTCGCAAGCACAAGAAAGAAAGGCGGAAACAAATCCGTCATACAAGAATCCCTGTCGCGCCCAAGCATCAAAAGGACCTCGACCCCAGTCGAGGTGCACGCCATCGGAGACACCTCATGCTGGATGACCCCGGTGTACAATTTTCTGACAAAGGGCGAGCTCCCTTCGGACCAAACGGAAGCGACCACAACGAAATGAAGAGCATGCTCCTACGTGGTGCTCGAGCATAAACTATACCGCAGGGGGTTCTCCATTCCCCTCCTGAAATGCATCGACGAATCCACAGTCTCCGAGGTATTACGGGAGATACACGAAGGGATTAACGCCCAACACATGGGCGGTAAGTCACTGGCGAGGAAAGCCCTGCGAGCGGGGTACTATTGGCCGACGATGCAGCAGGACGCCAAAGAACACGTTAAGAAGTGTGACAAGTGCCAAAAGCACGGCGACATGCATCTCGCCCCCCTCACGAGCTAAGCATACTGTCGTCCCAGTGGCCGTTTGTGTGGTGGGGGATGGATATCCTCTGACCATTCGCGCAAGGGACTTACCAAAACAAGTTCCTTATTGTGGCTGTGGATTACTTCACGAAATGGATAGAGGTCGAGGCTCTCGCGAAGATCACCTTGCACAACATCCTCCATTTCTACAAAAGAAACATCCTTGCCAGATTCGACATCCCGAGAGCGCTAGTCACCGACAACGACACCCAATTCACCGACCACGGATTCCAAAACTTCGTCACCAAACTGGGAACCAAACAACATTTCACCTCGGTCGAGCACCCTCAAACCAACGGACAAGAAGAGGCCACCAACAGAGTCATCCTGCGAGGACTCAAATGCTGGCTCGGTGAAGCTAAAAGAGGGTGGGTCGAGGAGCTGCACAGCGTTTTATGGGCTTATCGCACCACGCCCCATTCAACGATAGGCGAAACTCCCTTTCGACTAACATACGGCACCAAGGCCGTCATCCCCGTAGAAATCAGGGAACCCTCTAGGCGGACAGAAATGCCCCTTGATGAAGAAATGAACGATGAAGCACTCAAGGACGAACTCGACTTGGTCGAGGAAATTCGATCGGGGGCAGCTCTGCGCGAGGCCACTCTAAAACAACGAGTGGCCATGCGTCACAATGACAAGGTCATCAAACGCGAGTTCAAGAT